TGAACTTGTGTCTAGGGCAGGAGAAGATCGTAATAGAAGGGAAGATAGACAATCAAGAAGGAGAAATGATGATGATGATATGGAACTTGAGCGAAGAGATCATCATATGAGGGAAGACACCAAGTCAAGGAAGCCAGATGATGATGAGCTTGAACCCAGGACTAGAGATTCTGATAGAAGGGAAGAAAAGAGGTACAGGAGACAAGATGATGATGATGATTTTGGTACTAGGTCAAGGGAAGAGAGGAGGTCAAGGCAGCATAGAGAATATGATTCTGCATCAAGGTCGAGAGAAGATTATGATGTGAAGCAAGGGGACAGATCGAACAGACATGATACGAATAGATCAGACGTAAAAGTAAAATATGATTCCAACAAGAGAGATGAAAAGAGATCAAGAAGGTAATTATTGGGATCAGGAGCTTGGAAATTGGGCATCTTGCCCCTCCTTTAAACTGGAGAGGATTGTATTTCTATGCTCTCATTCTCTCTGTCTGGTCATCGTACTTGTGCTCCTCCGTATGATATCTTCCACTTTGTTATGAGAGCAATGAAAATCTTCTTTTCGACGTGAGAAGTTAAAAACTTCTGGTTTTGATCAATTCATGTTTCCGGATGGTAGAAATCATGCATCCAACTACTGATGCTTAAAAAGCATTGACACAAGATTTGAATCTCTGATATATATATATATATATATATTGTTGTGATTTATGTCTTTAGCTTGCTGTTATCAAGGGGAAAAAAAAGGTTCCGGCTGAAGGTAAACACGGCTCCAAATTTATAGAATTGTCTGCTAGATACAAAATTGAGATAGTTTGGTAGAATATACTGAATGGAGGATTTATAGTTGGTATGTTTTCTTCTTATTTCAAATGAACCAAAGCCTTGTACATTAGGACTTGCAAGAGACATGGGGAGGACATCGTCTGAAAGAAGATTTCTGTGGGCAGTGGACATTGAAATGAACCACCAAAAAAGCCAGAAAATCGTTATTAGTTGTCGTAAACTTCAATTGATACCCAATAGCACTGTCTGCATGAAATTCTATATAAAATGAAATCTTGATAGCAGGTAATTCATTCCGTCAATTTAGATCCTTCTTTGTTCCTGTTTGTAAGTTATATTCCTTCCTATCTTTTTTTCTATTTTTTATAAGAGATAATTAACGAAATCACATTAACTAAAAAGTTAGAAGTAATTAATATGAAAAAAATGCAATTTTTTTAAAGACTGGAAAATGTGGGTGAAGGAGAGAATAAGTGAAAAAAGAACTGAGAGAGAATAAGGGAGAAAAAAAGGTAAGAGAGACATGTAATTAGTTGAGGATAAATATAGGGAAAAAAATAGATTAAATGTATAAACATTTTCAAAGTGTGTTGCTCTTTCAAATAAAATTCTTTTATAAATAGGAACGAAGGGGGTATTTAGTTAAAAAAGTTAGTTAAAACTGGTTTATTGTAATTATATCAATTTTTTTTACATGTATCTCTAAATGTAAATTTATTATTATCTCTCTTTATACTCTTTGATGCCATAATTACTTAACAATATTCAACAACAACAACAAAATCTTATCCTACTAGGTGGGGTTGGCTACATGGATCGCACGACGCCATTGAACCCTATACAAAGTCAAATCTTTGGATAGATTGTTAATTAAGAGATCTCTCTCAATCACTTCATTAAGCATTGTTTTCGGCCTTCTTCCACTTTTTTTTAGAAGACTCTATACTATTTCTCAACTCTTCTTATCTGCATGTCCCAAGACTTTTTTACACGTGACCAAACCATTTTAATGAGTTTTCTACCATTTTCTCATCAATAGCAGCCACTCTAACTTTTCCTTCTTATATGTTCATTACGGATCTTGTCTTTTCTTTTATGACTACACATTATCTCAACATTCTCATCTCAACAACTACTACTTTATGTCCATGTTGCCCCTTTAAAGCCCAACACTCGCTGCCATATAGCATTATCGGTCTTATAGCAGTACTATAAAACTTTCATTTGACCTTATTTGATACTTTCTGATCACAGAGCACTCCTGTCACTTTTCTCCATTTAAACCATCTACCTTGAATTCTATGATTAATATCTTCATCAATTTTCCCATCTTTTGTATAATGATCCCAAATATTTAAACTTTTCCACTTATTGAATGACCTGGTCTCCCAATCTGACCTTTAACTCTGTACTAAGTTGTCTCTTATCAAAACTGCAATGCATATATTTCGTCTTGCTTCTACTCAAACAGAAACCCTTCGATTTCAAGGTTCTTCTCCATGTCTCAAGTTTAGCGATAATCTCTTCTTTTGACTCAGCCAATAGAACTATATTATCAGCAAAAAGCATGCACTTTGGGATTTTTTTTCTTTGATATGCTCAGTTAGAACATCAGGGACTAGATTAAACAGATAAGGGCTTAGAGATGATCCCTGATGTAGGCCAATCCTTATAGGGAAGTTCTTTGTCTCATTGCTTGGTGTTCTAACGCTAGTTGTGATCCCCTCATACATGTCTTGTATGATTTTAATATAAGCAACACGCATCCTTTTCTTTTCCAAGGCTCTCCAGAGTACTTCCTAGGCACACGTTTCATAAGCTTTTTCCAAATCAATAAAAATCATATGCAAGTCTCTTTTATGGTTTTGGTACTTTTCCATTGAGCCTCTTAAGTAAATAGATCACTTTTGTTGTCGATCTTCCTGGCATGAATTCGAATTGGTTTTCAGAAATACCAGTCTCCAATCTCAACTTGTGTTCCATCACCTTTAATTTCATGGTATGACTCATGAGTTTAATCCCTCTGTAACTAGCATAGTTCTGAATATCCCTTTTATTGTTGTAAATAGGTACTAAAGTACTTTTCCTCCAATTATCAGGCATTTTCCTGGAGTGCAAAATCTCATTGAATAACTTAGTAAGCCACAGCACCCCACCTTCACCCAAGCATTTTCAAACTTCAATAGGAATACCATCAGGTTCAACTACTTTATTATTTTCCATTTTCTTGAAAGCTTCCTTAACTTCACCAACTCGAATTCTTCGATAAAAAGCAAAATTATGTTCTTCTTCTACAGTTGTCAAATCTTCAAGCTCATAAGTCGATCCTTCACTCCCATAATTAAATAGCTTATAAAAGTAGGCTTCCTAACGATCCTTAATATCACCTTCAGTAACCAAAACTTTACCTTCTTCGTTCTTTATACATCTTACTTGGTCCAAATCTTTTGTTTTTCTTTCTTTATTCTTTGCGATCTTGTAGATCTTGCGTTCCCCAGCTTTAGTCCCTAGATCCTTATAGAACTCCTCAAAAGCTTTAGTATGAGCTTCTCCCACTGCTCTCCTAGTCTCTTTCTTAGTTACACAGTACCTTTCCTAATTTTAAGCATTATTACACAAATGTAACGCTTTAAAACACTATCGTTTATGCCTAATTTTCTCTTGCATGTTCTTGTTCCACCATCACGTCTCTTTATCTCGCCAACCTCGACCTTTCGATTCACCCAAGATTGCTTTGGCAACCTTTTGGACCTTTTTAGTCATTTCTATCTACATAAGATTAGCATTTCCTTGGAACTCCCAAACCCCTTCATTTAAAAACGTCCTTTTGAAAATCTCTCACTTCTCTCCCTTTAACTGCGACCATTTGACTCTTAGGGTTAACACTTGTTGCCGCTTTTGTTTTATAAATTTGATACGCACATCAAGGACCAGTACTCTATGTTGTGCTGTCACTCCATCTCCAGGAATCACTTTACAATTTGTGTAGAGTTTTCTATCAGGATTCCTTACCAGGAAGAAATCAATCTGCGACCTATGGGTTCTACTCTTATAAGTGATTAAATGCTCATTCCGCTTCTTAAAACAAGTGTTAACAATCTTGAGGTTGTACGTGAGAGAGAAATCAATAATAGCTTGCCCTTCATTATTACGCACTCTAAAATCCATACCACTGCGAGCCCCAGCATATTGTCCCACATCTTTACCAACATGTTCATTAAGATCACTGCCAATAAAAATCTTTTCTATGATTGGTGTACTTTGAATCAAATCCTCCATATCCGTCCAAAATTTCTTCTTAAAATGATCTTCCGCTCTTACTTGAGGTGCATAAACACTAATCACATTGATAGTATCCCTCCCCACAATTATTCTTAAAGAAATGATTCTGTCTTCTATCCTTTTGACTTCTACCACATTCTGTTTCCATTCATTATCAATGATAATAACAGCTCCATTCCTTGTGCCTACCTTTCCCGTATACCAAAGTTTAAATCTATTAGTAAATTCGAAGGCCTTCTTTCCAACGTATTTAGTTTCTTGTAGGCACAAAATATTAATCTTTCTTTTGCCCATTACTTCCACCACCTCCCTTGATTTACCATACAGTGTCCTAACATTCCAAGTGCTAAACCTGATCTTGCTTTCATAAACTAACTTTTTTAGCTTCCTACGTCCATAAGAGTACGGTAGCCCTTGCTCATTTAATACTACATTCGGGCAACAATGTAGTAGCTCTTGCTCACTTCTCACTGTACTCGAGCCATACAACACGTCACTTCCTAGCAACAACCAAACAGTAACACAATTTCTTTGTTGATCCATGTCATAAAAGATTCGACAGAGTTTTACATTGGCTGTTGAGGGCCTAACACAACCCTCCTCCTTTACCCGGGCTTGAGACCGGCTATGTAGGTGGAGTTACTTAACAATATTCACACCAATAAATTTAGAAAAAGATAATTGTTTCATAGATTTTATAAAATGACTTATAAATAGGGATGAAGGTAATACTTAACAATGACAAATAAATAATATGGCATTTAACATATGTATAAAAAATGGGAAAATGATATTAATGATTGAACATGGGTTCTGCATCCGAAGTCCAAGGATTAGAACCACTCTCAAATATTTTTGCTTCCAATGCCCCATTCAATGGCCATTTACAAAGAAGCTGCGGGCAGGAATACTAAAGGAACAAAGCATCATATCAGAAAATTGTTCAATCTAATAACAAACAAGGATTATATTTCATTACTTCACAATGATATACAAAAATTAACATGCTGCCGCAACTCTTGAACACGTGATACTTAAGAAGACTACCAAAACCAAGACAGACAAAATCCAAAGTACAAATTGCATAGTCATATAATGCCGCTTTCCAATTTGAAAGGCAACTCATTTACGGATTCTTAATGATATGAGCAAGCTGTTCTTTAGCTGGATCTATATCATGGAGGAACCAGAAACTGCTAAAATCTTGAAACTTGACCTCTGTCTCTGATATATGATTCTGCTGGTTTCATGCCTGGTGTGTCTTTTATATCAAGAAAGCTTGTGTCTCTTGTATCAAGAAAGCAGCAATTTCATCTGTGAAATACAACCAAGAGCGTCCATCAGCTGCTATTTCTACAAATGAAATCCTCAATAAGCCTCCCTGTAGAAATGAATGATGATCCACCACTTGAGACAGCTTTCCTGGCCTTCTCTTTCATCTCTTGGACCTTCTTATGCACCTCGCTATCTCTATCCATCAACTGTGTTATTCCTCTCTCTATCTCATCTGCCAGAACAAGATCACCATCACTCCTGTAATCCAGTCTCATCTCGACCGCTAATCCGAATTCCTTCACCATTCTGAATGCATTTAGCTGTTGTTCTGCATATATAGGCCATGTCAAAATTGGTACTCCAAACCACAAGCTCTCCATTATTGAGTTCCACCCGCAATGAGATACAAACCCAACAATGGATTTGTGTGCTAGAACCTCAACCTGTGGTGCCCACCCACATATCATTCCATTGTCATGCGTTGATTCTAAGAAACCTTCTGTTAAGGTTCTGTCTGCATTGTCTTTAGTTGGTGGCGAACGCATAGCCCACAAGAATCTAACCCCACTATTCTTAAGTCCTTTTGCCAACTCTCTTGTTTGAGATGGACTTAAGCTTCCCATGCTACCAAAACAAAGAAACACAACGGAGGAAGGTGGTTGATCATCAAGCCATTTCATTATCTTTTCATGCTGAGCCTGATCCAAATTGGGGTTAGGTTGACCCTTGAGCTCAATCACAGGACCAACAGTATAAACTGGAGGGACTTTCTCGTCTTTAAGTATATCATCAATGGCATACTGCTCCAATTCTGAGAAGCTATTTACAACAATCCCCTTTGTCTCTGTGAAATTCTGAGCTAGCTTATAATAAGCAAAGTATCCCCCATCTTTACTAAAAAGAGCATTAGGGAAAACCTTAGGAGGAACTGGATTGGAGAAACCTGGAATCAACAAGTCAGGACCAGAATCGCTGAACTCACCATCTATTTGGCGTTTCTGAAGGGAAAGCACAGTACCCAAAAATCCTGCATTTGTAGTCAGAAACAAATAAGAAGGAAGACCCAATTCCTTTCCCACATCAACCATGGACATACAGAAGAAATCAAGGACCAATCCAACAACTAGGTTTGAATCAGCCGTACGTAAGATGTTCTGTATAGTGGATTTGACGTGGGGTATAAGGCTTTCCATGAAGACATAGATGAAGTATTCTGGAGACTTCAGAAGCTCTGGTGAAGGTGGGTCTACTTCAGGAAGATCAACGAGCCGGATTCGAGGTTGGGAGGCCAACACTGATTTGATATATGAATCTGAAAAGGGAGTGAATGGGAACTTAATGCAGAGGACTGTGAAGGAAATGCGAGAATCATGATCGATTATGCGCTTTGCGAACTCAAGAGCCGAAACCAAGTGACCAATTCCTGGCGAGGGAATGAAGATGAGCTCTGAGTTCTTCATGTCAGCCATTTTTCTTTAGGCTTACTGGGTTTGTGAACCGTGAAAGAAGAAGGATTCCCACATCGCGCCAAGGCCCGCTTTTTTACCCCCTTCTACGTATGGCTAGTAATGTGATTTAGCATTGTTTTGACGCAGGCGGTCCATAATACTTTCTATTATCTTTTAATAATAATTTTTAGATAAAGATTTATAATTGGCTAGCTGGAAAATCATGTTTATATTTTATTGTTCATATGTAATTATTTATATTATATATAATTAATTTATTATTTATTTTATTAATTTAACATCGATTTAAAGATTTTTTTTACATTCGAAAAAGTATTTTATTCTATTTTAAAATTAATGCACTAATTGTAATTTAAAATGCGATATCGCATAGGTATTTTCAATATTCGTATATAAATACAAAATCTTATCTCAATAAAAATTTTGGAAGTAATTTATAAGGACAAGAAATGCGAACAAGTCCAAAGTCAAGGCCAATTTTTTTAATAAAAAATTATTTTAAAAAATAAAAGAAGAAAGAAAGATTCCCAAGGACAAGTGGATTTCAATGTCAATATAATGCCATCAAGTTAGGTCAAGTGTCTCTTGATGCTTGGCTGTAAAGGAACGCAGGACTACATTATTTTCAATTTATTTATTTATTTTTCAAAAAAATTATGGTGCCAGACAATAGCATATATTAATTAATTGATTCTATTATACTTTAAGCCTTCCAGAAGAGAAGCAAACTCACCGATTAAATAAGTGAGCATATAGTGTTATATATATATATATATATATATATGACTTGTGATGTGTTAGAGAAACTTTCTGCAAATGCCTAATGAGAACATATAATATGCAAAAGTCTCTCTACTTGAATATCCCGGAGACTCTATTTATTGGCTACATTAATTTAGAGATTGAGGTTATGTTCAATATGGCGCTAGAAATAACTTATAAACACATTTTATGTAAATTGAAATAAAATTTTTTTAACATACTTATTTTGTATTCTATAAATCATGATTGAAAAGTTATTTATAAGTTATTTTAAATAGTTTCGAAATTTGGAGGAAGTTTTAAATGATTCTAGAGTTGAAGTCTTTGTAGGTTATTGCAAAGGCAGAAGTCTAGAGGAATTCTTACTCTATGCATGCTTGGTTATTTGGGAATGATTGCATCTTGGCTTTTAGGTTGATTTTCTTGAAACAAGAGTACTTTATAGCAGCTTATGGTAATACCGTTTTCGCAATAAAAGGATTGAGTTCGATCTGTTTGGATGTCCCTCCAAACCATGGTTTGGGGAAGAAACCAGCCAAACAGGGGCAGAAAATGTGAAACCATGGTTTTGAACCCCAAAACCATGGTTTCGGTAGAAGTGGTTTGAAGTTGCTTCTGACTCAAATTTTCCAGACATTGGTGTGGGCCTAACAGCATATGACAAAGCAGCCCACATAATTGATGTCTCACTCTTCATTTCATACTCGTTTCTTCGCTATTTAATCTTATAATTTATAAATATATATATACATATTAATTATTTATTAGTTATATTATCTTATATATTATTAATTATGTTAGTAAAAATTATTTTATTAACAATTTTATTTCTTCAAATCAAAATATATTATAAAATCTATCCCTTATATAATTATCATATTAATTTATGTCCTTTTTAATAATTTGTACATGTAAAAAGTGCTTCTGGTAACAACTATCCAAACACTCTCACTTCTCAGAATCATTTTTTCATAAAATTTATTCTTTCCAGAATCTATTTTCTCTAGAATCTATTCTCCAGAAACTATTCTTCAAACCATGGTTTGGTTTCATCCAAACACGCCCTAAGCATGTCTATGAACAATCAACTCCTCTTCCTACTATCTTATTCTTTGGTCTAAAGATAATTGACCATTACAATAATGTCAATCTTTGGAGCATAGGATTAAATTTACCTCGTTTTGTGGATTTTGTTGTTTATTTGGTTTGGTTTTTGATGCATTGCTTTATGGTTTTTTTAATACAATATTTGGTCTTTATAGTTTATTTTTATTTTCGTTTTATTTTCAATAATTTCAAACAATATATTTTAATCTCTTAAGAAACAAAATAGTTCAAATTTTTATTAAAGTGTAGAGATTAACGTTTTGAGGGATTAAAACTTGTTGTTTGAAACTATAGGGACTGAAATTAGAATAAAGACAAATTATAAGGACCTGTATTAATATTTTTTTATTAAACTTTTGTGGCTGTGTTTCATGGACTCGTGTGGGTCTTTTTAATGGTAATCTAATATAATGTCATTGTGGCCCAAAAAAAAAAAGGCAAATAAATTGAATCAGCTCATGAATGTGTTAGGCTATAATTTTTTCAATAAAAAGAAATTGAGAATAATGTCGTCATGACAGCAAGCATCAAGACAGTCAACCTAATTTGATACCATTGACATCGGAGATCCAGTTGTTTTCGAGGAATATTTTTTTAAAACAATTTTTTTATTGGAAAAGAATAATTTGGGGTTTGATTTTAGTTGACATTATCTTGTCCTTATTATAAATTATTTCAAAATTTATATTAAGATAAGATTTTATAATTATACACAAATATTGAAAATATTTTAAATTACGCTCATACATTATGTTAAAGTATACTTTTAGTCATTTAATTTTATATAAGGTTTTATTTTTATTTTTTAACTTTAAAAAAATATGTTTTTAATCCTTTAATCCTAAAACTGTTAGCAAAAAAAATCTTGAGCGTTGATAAAACATTTTTTAAATGCTAACCTAGTAAGTTTAATTTTTAAAACAACTATAATTGTTAAAACAAGCATTACTTAAAACTTGCAATTTTAGAATTAAATAATTAAAGATATTTTTTTTTAAAATTAAGAGGCCAAATTAAAATCTTATCTAAAGTAAAAAAAAAAAACTAAATGTATATATTAATGTTATGATATTTGAACTCTCACCACTTGGTTAAGAGACCAAGTGAGATAACTATTAAGTCACACTGCGTGGTTATTGAATCCCACCCTTAGGTGTGAAAAGCATTTCATGGCCAGCCATTTACCTTTAAAATGCAAATATATATATATATATATTGAAAAGGATGAAAAGATAATAAAATAAACACTATATGAATCACATGTATGAATCACATGTATAATTGTATTTTCTTACAGCTATGAGAGTTAATATCATTATTAGTTCTTATAGTTTAATCAAATTTTGATTTTGATTCTTATAATTTCAAATCTTTTGGTTTTGCTCCCTATAATTTCATAATTTTTTGGTTTGAGTTAAACAAACGGTTCCCATACTTTTAATGAGTTTTTGTTTTAATTTTTATACTTAGTTAATTTTGTTTTAATTTTGAAAATTTTATCTCAAAAAATAATAAACATGATTTTCCAAATTTTAAATTTTATTTAAAATTTATGATTGAATATATAAAGTAGAAAAATATTCCCCTGGCTATTTAAAAGGGATTTTTTTGTCCTAAATAATATATAAGTATTAACCAACTCATTAGTTACTATTAACTTCACCCTTGTTAATAATCAAGGTTTAGTGTTACGTGAGAATTAGTTAAAAAGGGAGTAAACCAATAGAGTACCTGCATCAAAACCAATGTTTTAAAAGCCGGACCGGAAGTCGAACCGGAAAGATCAACGGGTCATGGTTCAATCGGTCGGATCGGTCGGACCGTTCAGTCAGACCGGTGACGCAATAATTAATTTAAAAAAATATTATATACATATAATTAGTATATATGAAAAATATCAAATTATTAAATAATTTAGAAATGCATTTAAATAATATAAAATTATAATAAAATCATTGAAAATGGACTAAAACCTTATATATTTAATTTTATGTATGTTTAAAATATTTAATGATATTACAAATTATCAATTCATTCAAATCAAAATATTTTTTTAAAAGATAGATCAAATATCGAAACAAAAAGACTAGCAACTCACGATTTTAACACCACAATATATGAAATTTTCAATGAAATAATATTATATGGTTATAACTAGTCTAAAAATATATTAGGATATTTAAGGGGATCAATTTTTTTTATTTTTCTTCTATTTTTTTAAAATTTTTTAGTATTTTTCAGTCAGACTAAAAAACCGTCCGGTTTTCTGAAAACCGTTCCGGTTCCCGGTCCAACTCCGATTTCCGGCTTAATAACGGCTCAACTCCGGTCCAATCCGGCTCAACTATGTGAACGGTTTTTTGGTCCAAACCGAGCCGTTAACGAGTCCGGGTGACGGTTCAACCGGTCCGACCGTCCGGTCCGGTCCGGTTCTTTAATCATTGATCAAAACAATCAAAAATTAATTTATTACCAAACATACGTGCAAGAAAACGGTCATTTGAGAATCATTCTTTCATGCATAGTCGACAAAGAAAATGGCTGACATGAAGAACTCAGAGCTCATCTTCATCCCCTCGCCGGGGATTGGCCACTTGGTTTCGGCTCTTGAGTTCGCAAAGCGCGTAATCGATTACGATTCTCGCATTTCCTTCACAATCCTCTGCATTAAGTTCCCATTCACTGCTTTTTCTAATTCATACATCAAATCAGTGTTGGCCTCCCAACCTCGAATCCGACTAATTGATCTTCCTGAAGTAGACCCTCCTCCACCAGAGCCTCTGAAACCTCCAGTGTATTTAATTTATGTCTTCACGGAAAGACTTATACCCCACGTCAAATCCACCATAGAGAACATCTTACGTACGGCTGATTCAAACCCAGTTGTTGGATTGGTCCTTGATTTGTTCTGTATGTCCATGGTTGACGTGGGAAAGGAATTGGGTCTTCTTATTTGTTTCTGACCACAAATGCAGGATTTTTGGGTACTATGCTTTCCCTTCAGAAACGCCAAATTGATGATGAATTCAAGGATTCTGGTCCTGAGTTGTTGATCCCAGGTTTCTCCAATCTAGTTCCTCCTAAGGTTTTGCCTAATTCTCTTTTTAGTAAAGAAAGGGGATATTTTGCTTATTATAAGCTAGCTCAGAATTTCACAGAGACAAATTAAAGGGGATTGTCTGATGGTTTTTTTATGGGGGAAT